ACGGAAACGATCATTATCGTCTGACTGGAAAATCGACAATTCGCTCAAAAATTGACACAATTTCAGAAAATTGTCAAAAAATTGCGGAAAATGTGCTAGTGTGACAGCACCTTTAGGGACAAAATCTAATGCAATCGAAGTTGTAATTATTGTTGTCGACATTGAATTGCAATTGATATTAGAAGAGGTACGGGAGCTGCATGAATTTCAGGATTTAGATAAGTGGTTCAATTATTGGCCTACACGTAGATCTCGTGATGAGTACAAACCACTCACTACAGATTCTACATATATAAGGCATAAGCAAGGGAATGCTTATGCCTATGAACTCTGTTTGCTCAAATTTTGATGTGAAAAAACAAGAGAACATTGCACTAGGAAAATCGACAGTCCATTCCAATGTACATCCAAAATACAGCAACTTGCAACTCATCCATTGGCACGCAGGGATGAGCCAAGTTCGAAATAAAATGAATCTGATTATGGAAACGTTTTTAATTATGTCTTATATTTGTAATTATATGAAATTATATTAGTGTTCATTGGTTTTGGCTCAATTAATACTGTCATTATTTATGCAAATATCGATAGCAGAATGAACGAAATATAAATGAAACTAAAAGACAAGTGTGTTTGTTATCTCAGAAAATTAAATTATTGTTTCCATCTTTTTGACTTTGAACGTACCAACGATTCCATAGGAACCAAACTCTCCCAGGCATAGAAGGCATATATGATAATATTATCTTGACCTGAAATTACACTCACGTCCCATCGTTGTGTCGTAATTACCCACAAATTTTCATCCGAATTAAAAACTAGTGAACATTCATCGAGATTGTGATTCAAAATTCCCGCGTTTTTTTTCGTGACGTCAACTGAGACTCTGTCACTTTATTATAGATCCTATATGAATTATAATAAATGTAACAGCAAATAATTTATACTGGTGACAAGCTTCTCTATATCTTTGTTGTATTTCTTTTGGGAAAAAATAATATATTAGAAAAAGAAAATATTGATATAATATTGAATTATTGCACTTAATGCATAAAACTCTACATGATCCATAGGGATTAAAAAAACTTTGAGGAAAATAAACCATTGAGGGAGTTGCTTATATGACTCATTTAAAGTGAAAACAAACCCGAAACGAAACGAAACAGCGATATGAAGCGAAACTAGAAATCTGGATCAACGGATTTTTTGAAATGGCCTAATATTGAATATCCCGACGACTACGACTATTTCACCAACACACCAAGTAATAATAACAATTTTATGATTACGTAATTTGCTACAGTAATCTATGATTTTTGCCTATGTAGGGTATTTTTTTTTTCCCATCAGCGTTCGTGCGTTTCATGACCTGTACCCATCGCTTCCATTTTTCAGTTTTTTTTTTGTTTGTTTTTTTTTTTTCGTGATCTGGGTATATATGACAGTTCAGACCTTCACTTCCCACCAACGGCAACGCATCTTCTCGGCATTTCCACGCAAAGAAACTAAAATTCCACGGAGAAATGCAGCAAGAAAAGCTGAGTGAGTTTGTTTGTTTTCACCAAGTGGCCGTTGCTAGGGCCGGTTGCTAGGCGTTGCAGAACCGGTCTGTGTGACCTTGAGCGAACTTGGGCTCGTCATCTGACCTGACCACCTGTCACTTCCTCGTCTCTCTTTTTTATTGTTATTATGAGCATTATTATTGATTTTTTTTCTTATTACTACTACTAATACTACTTATATCACTACTACTACTATTTCTATTATCATTATTATTGTTACTGTTTTTGTTTATATTATTACTACTATTACTACTTATTTTGTTATTGCTATTTCTCCTACTACTACTACGGCTTCTATTATCATTAATATTATTGTTGTTGCTGCTATTATCATCACCATCATCATTATCATTACTGTTAATATTTTGGTATTATAATCATTAGTAAGACCATGATAATTCAATCAACAACATCATCATCATCATACATCAAAAATAATCTTTATCATCACACATCATCATCATATCAACAAAATAACCTTAATTACCACACCATCACATCATCATCTTCATCAAAGTATCTGCATCACTACCATTATCATCATCAATTTATCATCACCCACACTCATCATCATAGTCATTCATCATCATCCATCAACCATCAACAACTTTATCATCCATCATCATCATCTCATCAATCATACATCATCAACATCAGCACACACCAACACCACACATTCATCTCACTCCAACCATCATCATCATCATCAACACCACACCATCACATCATCATCATCATCATCATCATCATCATCACCACCATCATCATCACCACCATCATCCATCAAAACCATCATCATTCATTACCAACATCATCATCATCACCATTCACACACACCACCACCACAACCACCACCATCATCATCATCATTATGGGTAGAAATTAAGCGTTAAACCGATTCACCATCATCATCACCATCACCATCATTGTAATTAGAT